TGGTGTGGAGCCCCGAAGTGGAGGTGTGCCTCTTCCACGCCATGCTGGGCCACAAGCCCGTCGGTGAGCGCCGGGCGCGGACCCGCGTGGGGGCGGGGCGGGGCGGCCGCAACCGTCGGGCGGGGCGGGGCCTGCGACCGCGCGCCGGACCGCTGCCCGGGACGCCCTGCCCTGGACCCCGCTGCCCCTGGACCCCGCCGCCCCTGGGACTGTCCTTCCCCTGGACATGAACTCGCCGCCCGGGACACCCCTGCCCCTGGACACATCTGTCCCGGGACACCCCTGCCCCTGAACCCGCCGCCCAGGGCACCCCTGCCCCTGGATCCCGCCGCTCCAGAGACACCCCTGCCCTAGATCCCCCCGCCCGAGGGACATCCTTGCCCTAGACCCCGCTGTCCCGGGACACCCCCTGCCCCTGGACCCTGCTGCCCCGGGACACCCTTACCCCTGGACCCTCTCCGGCCCCTGGATCCTGCTGGCCCAGAGACACTTCTGTCCTCAGATCCCGCTGCCCTTGGGACACCCTTGCCCCTGTGCTCCAGAGACACCCCTACCCTGGATTCTGCTTCTCTGGGGACGCTACTGGACGCTACTACACCAAGATAGTCTTGTCCCTGGCACTCAGCCCCTGGTCACCCCTATTCCCAAGGACTTCTTGCAGGGACACCACACACGTTCTCCCTGCCCCAGATATTGGGCTGTTCTCAGACCACCCCTCCACCACCACTCCTGGCACATTCTGGCTCATACACACACTCTGGCTGCCAGGGACACCTCTCACCTCTGTCAAACCCCTGTGCCCACAATTCCCCCCCTTAATATCCCTTTCCCTGCCACACCCCTACCCCTGCAACACCCCTGCCCTTCCCCTTGGGCACTGCTGCCCCTCCTACATCACCTCCACTCACCCCTGACCCTTCCTACCACTCACTACCCTCCCCACTGCCACCCTCCCGGCTCCAGCCCCCATTGCCCTTTCATTCTCCAGGACAGCACTTTCTCCCCTTCCCCTTTATCTACTGTCCTGCTTCTCCTCTCACAGGGGTAAACCGACACTTCCACATGATCTGTATCCGGGACAAGTTCAGCCAGAATATTGGGCGGCAAGTCCCATCCAAGGTCATCTGGGACCATCTGAGTACCATGTACGACATGCAGGCACTGGTGAGCTGGACCCCTCTCCCTCATGGGGTGGGGAGACAAGAAGCCCACACTGTGTTCCCTGGAGGCCAGGCCCAGTGGGTTGGGGAGTGCCTATTGCTGACCTCCTAGTGTCTGCTGAGCAGAGCAGCAGAGGTGGTCCCACAGATGAGGCTCATGAGAAGCACAGTCTAATCGTGGCAATTGGTTACTTTTTCAGGGAACTTACTTGAGATTGGGCAGTCAGCGCAAGTTTCCAGGGACTAACTGGGGACCTGAGAAGCAGGGGCTTTCCCCACAGGGTGCCAAGGCATGGGCCCCTTGCTGTTGTCAGTCTCTGGGAGTCCCAAAAGTGCTTAAGGTAGGAGGTGAACTTATCTGAGTCACATAAGGTGAACATGGTGGCACAGAGAGCCCCATCCTTATGGAGCCCAGAGCTGGCAGTGTCTGACAGGCAGGTGGGTTTGTTGAATAACCAGGGTGGCCAGTAGACAGGTGGGTGTTCTTGGCAGAGGAAAGGCAGCTGTCAGAGCCCTGCGGCAGCAGGAGTGGGTGGGATCAGGAACTCAAAGGTGAGTATGCTTGGAGTGTGAGGTGTGTTGAGGTCAGGGGGCCAGGAGAGCAGTGCTGGTAGAAGGAGATCTGAGCCTCCGGGCTGGACTCAGCCCTGCTGGTCCTTGCAAGACTGGGGTACACACTGTTAAAGCAGAGAATGCTGCCTGTTGACCTTGGGTGAGTCCCAAGTGCCCCACTTTCTGTAGCTGTAGGGAGCCAGTAGGGATGCCCTGAAAACCTGGGTGGTGGCTGCCAGTGGCATCTCACACTGAAGGCATTCTGAGCCTGGTAGGCAGTTTGCAGCAGCACCTGTAGTGACCAGCACCTGTAGCCCAGATGTAGCCGTCAGTGAGGTCCTCCCTGCAGCAGCCTCACTCCTGTCTGCACAACGAGCATGTCAAGTCAGGTGTGAGTCCCTGGTCACCACCCGCTCTATCTGGACTCCCTAGGATCCCAGTTGTGGGGTTTCTTGGAGCACCTGCTCCCCAGATGTTTCCTGCCCAGGTGCAGAGATGAGTACAGCATCATGCCCATCTAGGGAAGACAAAGCTCTGGGCTGAGATTGGCACAGGTGCTTGCTTGGGAGGCACAGTGGCCTTCCAGGTCCTCAGGGAACTTCCATTTACCCCCAGGACAGCTGCCCCATGTCTTCTACAGTGGCCTCTAAGGACAGGAAGGACTGTAAAATACGGATCTGTCCCCTTATCTGGCACACCACACATTGATGCATAAACTTAGACCGACCACCTGACTTCACGCAGCACCTGGGCTGCCAGTGGAAGCCCCTCTCCTAATCCCCTCCCATCCAGGGAGCTTCCTGCCAACTCAACCTTCCCTTGGTTCCATTGTCTTGTATTCTCAGGTCCCTGTTCCCTCTGGTATGTGGGACATGCAGGACAGGTGGAAGCCCAGTCTGCTTGAGGACCTTTCCTCACTTGCCTTACTCTCTGGGCTTCTTTGCACATGGCCTTCCTACTGGCACCATGTGGGCAGGGACTGTCAACTGCCTTGGTACACCATGGTGCAGTCACTCTTATGAGGAAGCCACAGGGGTAAGCTGCCCAGTGTGTCTGGGCAGGACTGCTCTTCCCTTGGGGCCCTCCAGTGGTATGGACCCCCTTCTGCCTTCCCATGGCTGCCTGTGGTGTCTGTGCCCTCCTGTCCCTCCCTCTTCTGTCTGCCAAGCCTAGATTATGGTAGGCTCTGCAGGTGGAAGGAAGGAAGGGTCAGTACCCACAGATCTGTCCATTCGGCCCAGTAGTTAGAGGCACTTGCTGTTGCCCCCGAGCAGCTTCTGTATGTCTTTACGACCTGCAAACATTACACCTGTTTTTCTGTTTGTTTTTTCTTTTTTTAAATACAAAATGCCGTATTTGCTGTCAGCATGAGTCGGAGATTCTTCCATTCCCGAATCCAGAGAGGAACTTTGTCCTTCCAGAAGAGATCATTCAAGAAGTCCGAGAAGGTGAGGCTCCAGAGAGGTCTGATCTGGGAGTAGAAAAGGTGGGACCTGGGCCAGGGGTGGGCGGTTACCGTGAAGGTCAGGGGCCTTGGGGGGGGGGGATTTTGCCCCCCCCGGGGGGGGGGGGGGTGGGGGCCTGGGGGCCTGGGGGGCAGGGCAAGGGTGGGTGTTCAAGGGCATCCGTGTGACGGATGCTGCCGCCTGTGTGGGCAGCCAGAGTCGGGGCAGTCCTGGCCCACCCGTCCCCAGCGCTGGCCGCCACCGTGGGTTTCCAGTGAAGGTCAGCTGTCTCCTCCACAGGAAAAGTGGTCATTGAAGAGGAGATGAAGGAGGAGATGAAGGAGGACGTGGACCCCCACAGTGGGGCCGACGACGGTAAGTGTGGAACCCCCCACCCTGCCCTGCACCCGCTGGAGCACAGCACCCCGTCGCCCTCCCCGAAAGGCCTCCCTCACGCAGGGCGCGGTCAGGTGGCCGTAGAGTCTGCAGGACGGAGGGTCATCTCAGTGCAGGAGGAGTCCTGACAGCGTCCCCGCAGCAAAGCAAAGTGCAGGAGCCGCGGGCTCAGCTGCTCCTCTCCTGACGTCGTGGCGGAGCCTGGAAGCCTAGCGTGGGACGCCCGAGGCTCTCTGTCGGGAGGCCCCTCTTCAGGCCTCGCGTAAGGGGCTCCCCACCCAGGGGGAAGCCTGCTGGGGTCAGGGGTCCTGTGTGTAGATTCTGATTTTCCTAACTGAGAAGACGATGAAATGAGGTTCTGGGTATTCTGTCTTCAGCCAAATGATTTTGTTTCTCAGTTTTTTCATCTTCAGGGAGCTTGGGGAAGTCAACAGAAAAATCCAGCAAAGACAAAGAGAAGAGCTCCTCAGACTTGGGGTGTAAAGACGGGGCGGACAAGCGGAAGCGCAGCCGGGTCACTGACAAAGTCCTGACCGCTAACAGTAACCCCTCCAGCCCCAGCGCTGCCAAGCGGCGCCGAACATAGACACCACAGCCTGGCAGCAGAGTCGTCCAAGCTGCAAGCCCTACCGCCTGCCCTCAGGTCCCTGGGCAAACATGGCCATCTACAGGAAGCTGTCTAGGCTCCCGCCATGTTGTCAGATCGCCAGGGTCCCTGGGGGACCCAAAAGACCAGGACCAACCCTCTTGGACGTTGAGCCGCCAAGTCCACGTCTGTCTTCTCTGGGCTCAGCTCCTCCCTTGCCAGGTCTCAGGGAGGAGAGCAAGGGCAGGGGCCAGGAGAAGGCTGCGAATCAGCAAGCAATAAAACAGCCTCCACTCCGTCCTCAGAAAGACCGTAGTGCTAGCCTTCCCTGGGGACTCGCTCTGCATTTGCTTGTCCTTCTAAACCTCCCTGCTGTCCCATGGAGGCATCAGGAGCATGTGGCCCAGGTCACCACGTGCCCCACTCCCTACCTGGGAGACTAAGAACTGGATGTTTTTCTCATTCACTTGTACTGTAACGGTGTATATAATTTGGTTGGTATTTCACTATTTAATTTTTAAGAAGCCTATTTTACTAGCATTTTATATGAGAAAGAATACTGCAGAAGTTAAACCTGTGTTGTATTTTTTCTGAGATGTTTTGTTTTTAGGTAATAACTACTGAGATACTTTTTGCTCAGTTTTTATATTCCAGATACAGAGAATTTATAGTGGTTATTTTTGTAATTCTAGTAACTTACAAAAAGACCAAATGAGGGAGTTGAGGGGAAGACGCAACCTTTGGGCTGGTGAGGCAGTGGCCTCAGTATTGGTTGAAGTATGCTTTCATTGGACTACAGAACATTAAAGCACAAAAAATCAACCTGGAGTTGTGTGGTTTCAATAACCAAAAGGGGTCAGCTTTTTCTGCAATAGGAAGTTTTATTTTTCCAAGATTTCTAACTGTAGAGCACACTTAAACAGCTTGTTAACATCACTTGATACAATGTACAAACAGTAACCGTCCAGAGAGATTACTTTGTTGAACATGTGTCACATCCAGAGAGACATACAGCTCTGGCACCTGCCAAACTGCTCTCTGGCCTGTGACCTTAGACTGCTGAATGAGTGTTCTTCACAAAGCACAGTCCAGCCATTGGGCATGAGGAGGTGTGGTAGGAGACCAGCCTACACACACATGCACCTCAGCATCTCAATACCAATGTAAAGCTGAGCAATCTGCAGTGTCCTGGGTGACAAGAGGCGCAGCATGGGGTCCAAGTTGATCACACCAAACCCAGTCACTTCTGGGTGGGGCAGTAGGGTACCTGTAAAATATGACTGGATCCAGTTTCCTTGCACAGAAAGAATATCTTGTGGGGACAAACGAGCTGGTCTCACAGCCTTCCCTTCCACATGCCCAGGTTAGACCAGCTGCAGAGCCTGGGCTGCTCTATGCCCTTGTCCGTACTATCCTGCCCCATGGGTGGGAGCCAAGGACGGAGTTTTGCCCCATTTGAGATGAGGTCCCAGCACAGTAGACTCCTTGCTCACCCTGACACTCAAGACCTTGGCCTGTGCAGTGTCAAGACAGAGGTCAGCACTGCAGACAGTTGGGGGCCAGCCTCAGGAGCACCCCCCCCCCCCCCGCAAACCCCACAGAGGGAAGAGTAAGGTCTCTGTTCACCCAAGTGCCCACCCACCTCCATGTGCTCTCTCCTTCCAGGTCAACCTTCACTCAGTGCCCATTTGTGCTGGTCCTGCTGCTGGATCCTGGCTCTTTTGAGTCCAGAACTAGCATGGGAAAGGGAAGCAGACAGTCACCCTGAGGGATGATCAGGAAGGAGGCCCCTCTCCAGCAAGGACCACTGTCAGAAGCCCCACCTAAAGCTGCGTCTTCAGGATTTCAGCATGCACTGGAGAGCCTGGTCAACAGGTCAGCCTCCGCCTTGTGCTGCCCCTCAGGAGCAGGCGTCACCCCACAGCCCCAGTGGCCCTACCTGGTTCTTCAGCCCTTACAGCTCACGGGAGCTCCTGCTGCATGTAAGAATGACCAGGTGGAATTCACAGCACAAAGTCCTGCACTGTGATCCACTCGTTTGCAAAGCCTGTCCATGCTAAGATGGACACCTCAGCAGACACACTGTGTGCCAAGCACGCCTGACCTCCAGGCACCTTTCCTGCAGCGGACAGATGTTCCCTCAGGTGTCATCAGTGTGCAGGGAGTCAGTAAGGGCTGCTCAGCTGGGCGTGGTCTCACCTCTTCCAGACTGGTCCAGGGACAACAGGGAAGCCACAGTTAGTTCCACTGTTCCTCAAACTCTGGCAAGGCTGAGCCATAAGCAACACTACTTGCAAAGATGTCCTCTCCAGCATGACAAGGCAAGCTGTGCCACTGCTCAGCTCCCATCAAGGGCAGCAAAGCTATCTGGAAAACTGAGCCCCACTGGGTGACAGCTGACTGCAGAAGATGCTCAGGGAAGACACAATGCCATCTCATGGCTCTCTAAAGATGAGCTCTGCACAAACTACACAAAACCAAAGGACAACTCATGGTGGCTGTGTGTGCAAAAGAGAGGTTGCACAATATCTTAAAAACAACTCTTTCTGGCGCTGTAGCCAGGTTCTTACTCTGGCAGCAGGCAGCGGTAGACACTGTCCCTTGGCTTGGCATGCCTGTTTTTCTGCTCTCTGAAGTACTAAAAGGGCAGCCTGCTCATCCAGGTGTCCCAGATCAAACCCTGAAAGCTGTCCCAGCAACCATTAGTGCCCCACCAAAGACCGCCCTGCCTACCTTGGAGCTATAACCAGAACCCAGCTGTACATCACATAACAAACAGGACCATGTTCCCAGTCTGCAGTGGGTCTGCCTCACCAGAAGCCCTGGGCTGCTTGCTCACACATTCACAGTAACCTTGCACTGGCTGCACAGTGAGACAATCTGCAGAAATATCCAGAGCTCTGTAGCTTCGGGGTTCAGTACTGTCTTCCTAGGAAGTATGTCACATGGACACATGCTCAGCCAGGAGAGATTGTCCCCAGGTTAATAAAAGTCAGCAGGGACTAGGGGCCAGCACCAGAGGTCCTTAATAAGAGTACTCATGACTGAGATGGGAAGACTGCATTCACTTCCTCACTCTCACCTGTCCCCCACAGGCACCAAACTCCTGTCAGCTGGCCCCAGTCCCAGCAGTTGGGACTGCCAATGTGTAAAGGCACACCTACCTCCAGCCACCATCAGTCCCCCAGAGATTCCTAAGGAGGCATTTTATTCGGGTCAGCCTATGTTGCACCATCCTTAGGCTGACCCCAGTAACCTCTGTCTCCTGGCTTTCAAGACTGTGTGGTCCCTCCACCTAAGTGTGGCACCTGTGACTTCCCACAACTGACCCGGTGGCAACAGCGTTGGGATGTCACTCCCAATATCATGTGGCATTCCCTGAGGCATCACCTGCAGATAGAGTGAGGACTTGGAAGATTACTAGGCTGTCCTGTGCTGCCAGTGGAGGGCGCAGGCACCGGTCAGCAGCCTCCGGAGCCCAGCGCCCCCCACCCCTCGCCTGACCACAGCTAGCAGGATCACAGGGACTCCAGACCCGGTGGCGAGGCACGGAGCACCGACCAGAGGGCATCCTTCAGAGGACAGCCTCTGGAGGAACTTCTCTGGGGAGAAGGGATAGTCTCAGGAGAGGGATTCTCTGGGGTCAGGCGTCCCCTAGGGAGGTGAGACCTAAAGGGGGTCATCCTGAAGCCTCTTCTGGGGGTGGGCGCTGTCCTTCTGGGGGACATCTCCGTAGGGTCATCCTTCAGGGTGGACATGATGGAATAAATGGTGGCTGCTCGAAGGGCATCCTCTGGGTACAATCGTCTGGGGGACATCTCCACGGGTGGCTTCTTCCTCCGCGGAGGCAGGCGTCCTCCGTGGGGACCCCCGGGGGCAGGGGCTCCCGGAACGGCAGCATCCTCGGGGGGTCGCTGTCCCCGCAGGGACGCTCCGCGGCGCGCGGCGCGGGCGGGGCCTCACGGGCGGGGCCTGCGGCCGCCCCCGCCCCGCCCCCGCGCTTCCTCCGCTTTCACTTTCGCTTCCGCCGCGAGCGGGTCCCGCGGCCCCAGTATGGACGACCCGGACTGCGACTCCACCTGGGAGGAGGACGAGGACGCGGAGGGCGGCGAGGACGGCCAGGCGGGCGAGGCGGACGCGGGGGACGAGGACGAGGACGCGGACGGGCCGCGGGCCGGCGCGCTCCAGGTGCGGGAGGCGGGGAGGCCGGGCCGCGCTCCGCCGCGCCGCAGCCGGGGACCCCAGGCCCCGCCGCCCCGCCGGGGCCGCCCCCGGAGTCGGCCGGTGCGTGGGTGGCGTCAGAGCGGTGCGTGGTGATGTCAGAGCCGCGGCCGCGAGCGGGGGCCGTGCGTGGGTGACGTCAGAGCAGCGGCCTGGGGCGGCGTGGGTGGGTGCCTCGGGGCGCCTCGGGCGCAGGCCAGCCCCGTCGGATGGCCGCGGCTGATCCTGACGGCCCGCCTCTGGCCCGGGCGGTGGGCTCCCAGCCGCCCCGCCGTCGGCCCCGCGGGCGCAGCGTCCCGGCTCGTCCTGGGCTGAGCTGGGGCACCGCGGACCCGCCGCGGCCAGGCGGCTGTCAGCCACTGGTTACTTTTGTTGCCACCGTGCTTGTGACTCCGGGGCTACTTTTGTTGCCAGCGGTTATCCGTTCTGTACAGAGCCTCGTCATCGTTCCAGCTGTGGTTCCAGATGTGGAGGGCCCAGAAAATGGGCTTCAGATTCTCCCCGTGGCAGTGAGCCCTGGTTTCCAGTTTATCTCAGTGCCCTGGAGTGGTCAGGGACAGTGGCCCCGGAACCTGGAGGGCTCCCAGGCCTACCTGGAAGCCTTCCGCGCCCTCTGGCCTTCAGCACACCTGCACAGGGCCTAAGTGCTGCAGGAGGTGGGGTCAGGGTCACAGGGCAGTGTGCCAACCGGCCGGCTATGACGTGAGTGTCCGCGAGGCTCAGGCCGCCATCCTGAGCAGCGCTCAGGCACCTTGGCCCTGTGGGGTGCCCATGATCTCCCATCTTTTCCCTTTTGCCTCCTGCCTGGACCATTTCCTTCCTTCCCCTGCAGAGCCTCCTCAACCCTGACTAGGCTGGCCCTGCTCTGAGCTGTGTGCATCCTGTTGACCAGCAGGAAGTGGGAAAGCACCGGGGCAGCCAACTCCTCAGAGTTTCTGTTTCTGTCTCCTGGCCCTTCCCTGGCAAGAGAACCCTACCAGCTGGCCCTGGTTTGAAATTAGCAGCTGCAAAGCCCTACCTTGGCTGGAGTCCTATCAAGTTGGGGCAGGGGGTGATGAGCTCTGAGATGATATTTGGGAACCTGGCCTCCTGCGCCTCTCAGTGCTTCCCCATCCCTTGAGCCAGTTGTTTCCCAGGTCAGGACAACCTGCGCCTTGTGGGTTGCACCACCCTTCATCCTGCCCAGCTGGGCACAGCCCACCCTCTGCTCCCACCTCATAACACAGTGGGGTCAAGGCTGTTTCCCAGCATCCTTGTGACCAGTTGCCTCCCATCTGTCCTGGACCCCTGGGTGTGTGACATGGAGAAAAAGTGGTGCAGAGCGTGAGGCTGAGGGGGCCACATCTTGCTGAAAGCAGCCTCTGACAGGAGGCACAGGGCTTGTCCTCTCTATGGTCTCTGACCAAGGAGGAGTGGGGTTAGTGGGGACAGGCCTTTGTTGCTTATTTCTCACATGTGGTCAGAGGCCTGAGTCCCCTCCTGGGGCTGTAGGTGGCAAGATGGCTGCCACTGGGGACACAGCCTGATGTCAACTTAAAGCACAATGTAAGGGGAAGTACAGTGGGATCTGGGGACATGGTGGGTTGAGGCAAGAGTGAGGATAGCCAGTAAACCTGGGGGGAAGAGTTGGAGCTGCGGCTTGGGGACAGGAAGGCATCGTGGCCACACCCCGTGGGAGTATACACGTCCCTGAGGTGAAAGCCCAGAGTCTCCCAGGGGGAGCAGGAATAGGAGCAGGCCTCAGCTCCAGCTGTCTGACTCTTCAGGGAGGGGTACTTCACTGGGTCCACATCTACCCACTGGGAACCCTCGGAAATCCAGGGTTAGGGATTGGAGGGAAGAATTGTGACAAGTGACCACTCCCCTTCAAGCACCTCACCAGAGCTGGCCCAGACCACATGGCCTTGCCAGAGTAGGGGCTCCCTGGGGCTTCTCCTAGGGGAGGCTCATCCCATGCCATCTCTTCCCAGTCCAGGATAACAGGGTCCCGCAATTGGAGAGCCATGCAGGACATGCGCAGGTACCGGCACCACTACCCGGTAGGTACCCACAGCCCCCTGTGTTCCCTGTAGCACCCGTGCACTGGCCCATCTGGAGACACACAACCCATTAGCACCTGTCAGACAGAATGTCCCCTGTCTTGCTCGAAACCTGGGCCTGGATTCTGGGTGTGCCCCTCATTGTCCAGAGCACAGACCAGGTGTGAGTTCTAATCATGGTGTGAGGGGAACGTGCTTCCCCCGCTCTGAGCCTCAGCACCCCAGCTGTAGAGTTGGGTAGCAGTTCTGGCCTCCTAATGCAAGTGTGTGGTCTGGTGGGGGGCTCCTGGGGAGGGTGTTAGAAGCCATCCTGGGGGTGGGGGTAGGAGCATTGTCCTCAGTTCCTGCCCACATGAGTGGGAGGTGAGGAGGCCCTGTCCTCCAAGCCTCTCCTCACCTGCAGAGGAGCCCCAACTGGGCTCAGGGCCTCACGGCAGCCTCCGGAGGCCTGGAGGTTTGCATATGCACTGGACTGAGGGCCCTCAGAGGCAGTGTATTTTTGATGAGGCCCCAGCCATGCCCTCTCTCTGCCCTTCAGGATTTGGTGGAACGAGACTGCAACGGTGACATGCCCAACCTGAGTTTCTACAAAAATGAGATCCGCTTCCTGCCAAACGGTACACACCCCCTCAGCTGCCCTGCTTTCAGAGAGCTCCACAGAGCCCCCTGGAGGCAGCCAGAGGGGTCCAGGTTGGGGGGCTGTGTAAAGGGTCCCAGAGGAACATTGGAGGCTTCCCCACCACATGGTCTCTGCTGCAGCTGCTCAAGGCAACAGGTGAACTAACGAGCCAATGGTCTTACTGTTCTACGTGGTGTCATAAAAAGTAGGATAATAATTTGTGATGTACAATTGAGTTGAAATTTAAGTTTCTTTGTCATCGAGTCTTATTGGAACCTACCTGTGCCCATTCATTTACGCAGCTGCTTTCTCTCTGGAGCAGGAAACAGCCTGCTTAGGTGGAGACCATGTGGCCCCCCAGCCTGGGGTGTTTACTGTCTGGCCTCACAGACATGGGCCCACCTGCTCTGGACTGTGCCCCGGGGTTGGGTTCTGCTGGGGTCTTGTTTGAGGACAGAGTGAGTACCAGGGCTCACAGGCCAGGCTTTGAGTGAGGCACCCCTTTGGCAGAAATGGGTCTGAGTCTGGACCACAGGTTCCCCAGAGGGGCCTCCCAGGCCTCCACTGAGTTTGTCCTCAGTCACACTGAGGGTCTGGCTTCCACACTGCAGAGCGGCTGAGTACCTTGAGCCCAAAGCCGTTGATGGTCTTAAAGAGTTGGGGGCCTGAATTGGCAGCACTCTGTCCCTGAGCCCTGTCAGGGGTTTTGTCCCCACTGCTGACTTGGCCCCATGGGGTTCCCAGGATGTTTCATTGAAGACATTCTTCAGAATTGGAGGGACAACTATGATCTCCTCGAGGACAATCACTCCTACATCCAGTGGTGAGCCGGTAGGGAGGAGCAGGAGGGCGGACGGGGAGGGGGCCTGGGCCCTGGGCCACTTGCTGCCTTCTCATGTGCACTTAGTAGTGTCCTTCCCAGAAGCCCACACCCACACCGCAGGATGGTGCTTGCACACGCTTGGGTGGGCATCAGCAGATACTGCAGGGGCCAGTGCCACAGAGGGGAGACTCCAGCCTGTCCCACGGTCTGTTGGCTCTTTAGGTCTCAGCACCTCTGTGGTTGGGAACACAGTGGCCCCAGGAGACAGGAGGGGATACACACAAGCTGGGGCGTGGGGTGGGAAATGGCCTGCCTGCCCACCTGCCAGGGGCTGCAGCCTTGGCACCAGGCCTGAGCCCCCAGGGGCAGGTGGGGCTGGGCTGTGCCTGACTCAGGCCATGGTGAGGCTCTAGGTCAGGCTTGGGCAGAAATGTGGGGTGCTCTTGGAGGCCATGACTGCCCTGAAGAGCAGTGTGCCTCTGCTTGAGGTCAGCCTTCTGGGCAGCTCCAGGGGGTCTCCTGCATCAGGTGCATCATGGGGATGAGCTCCTGGCATCAGTGAAGGGAAGCAAAGGAGGATGAGCAAGCAGGAAGGAGAGCCCTGGCCCCAGCCTGAGCAGGGGGACAAGGCAGCCTTCCATGGATTGCCCACAGGTCACCAGGCATGCATGCTGGGCTCTGGCTAGTCACACTCACCTGTGCTAAACCCTCCTTTTCTACCCTTGACCCTTTGCTTTGTGAACTGCGGGAGGCCACCACCCTCCTAGAGTTAAGCAGCAAGCCCAGAGAGGGTAATACACTGCCCCAGGCCACCCAGCAAGCTTGAGCCTGAGGCCTTGGAAGTCTGGCCCTGGTCATTAAAGGGCCTGCGCCCTCCCTGTCTTCGCAGGCTGTTTCCTCTGAGGGAACCGGGAGTGAACTGGCACGCCAAGCCCCTCACACTCAAGGAGGTCCAGGTGAGCTCCTGTGCCCCTGCTAGAGAGGTCACATCTGATACCAGGTGCTGAATGCCACCTGGAGGGCTGCTGGGAGATGCAGAGGCCCAGAGAACCTGCGTCCCACACTCTGCCTTCCAGAATGGTCATCTTCCTGCATGGGCTCCTGCAGCATCTAGAAATCTGACTCTCATGCCGTCCGCTGCCTGCTAGGGAGTTGGGGGAAGGGCCTGAGCAGGAGGAGCACCTTGATGCCAGGGCAGGATCGGAGAGGAGGCAGCCTTCCCCCGGCTCTGGGAATCTGGTTCTGTACAGGGAGGAGCTGCGTTAATGTGCCTGCTGTCATTCTGCCTTAAAAGGCTGAGTCATGACCCAGGAGGCGTCTGCCCGCCTGGCGTCCACGGCCGTCCCACACAGCCCAACAGAGGCCCAGGAACGGCCTCCTGAGCTCCCTTGGGGGTGTTTTCCAGGCATTCAAAAGCTCCAAGGAGGTCAGGGAGCGGCTTGTCCGGGCCTATGAGCTCATGCTGGGCTTCTACGGGATCCAGCTCAAAGACCGGGACACGGGTGTTGTGTGCCGAGCACAGAACTACCACAGTCGCTTCCAGAACCTGAACTGGTGAGGAGCGGGCGAGCCTCAGGTGCAGGACACTGGGTTTCAGGCAGGTGTGAGGGGCCTGCGGGGAGGCATGATGCCCACCCGGTCAGGTGGTGAGGACGTAAAGGAAGGGCTTCCTTTGCCTGGGAGGTGTCAGCCCCGTGGGGAAGCGGGTCAGGGACAATCTGTAGGTGGCACCATCCCCCTTGCTGGGGGTGTTGGCCCCTCTGCCCTCCTCCAGCCAGCACCTCCCCACGTGAGTCCACTGATGGAGTTACTGCCCTCCGTGGACGCTCCCCATGGGTGTGAGTCCTCCTGGAGGCGCTAGCCGAGCTCGCTCACCCCTCCCCTCTCACAGGCGCAGCCACAACAACCTGCGCATCACGCGCATCCTCAAGTCTCTGGGCGAGCTGGGCCTGGAGCACTACCAGGCCCCGCTGGCGCGCTTCTTCCTGGAGGAGACGCTGGTGCGCTGCGAGCTGCCCGGCGTGCGCCAGAGCGCCCTGGACTACTTCCTGTTTGCTGTGCGCTGCCGGCGCCAGCGCCGGGAGCTCGTGCACTTTGCCTGGGAGCACTTCCAGCCTCGCTGCAAGTTCGTCTGGGGGCCACGTGACAAGCTGCAGCGCTTTAGGCCCCGCGCCACACTCCAGCCACTGGCAGCCCCCAGGCAGGCAGAGGGGGACGAGGGCCCAGGGGACTCCCTCCAGGAGGCTGGCACCCAGGATCAGACCTGTGGGCAGGAGAGGGACCCTGGTGGGGACAGGGTGTCAGCTGAGGTTCCCCAGCCACTGAGTGTGAAGCACCAGGATGCGGAAACCCTGGAGGGGGGCCAAGGGAATGAGGCTGAGCCCCCAAGTCCCAAAGAGAGCAAGAAGAGGAAGTTGGAGGCAAACCGGAAGGAGCAGGCCCCAGGGGAGCCAGGCCCCCCAGGCCCCTCGGAGGTGGAGAAAATAGCTCAGAACCTGGAGGGGTGTGCCCTCAGCCAGGGCAGCCAGGACCTGGGGGAGACGGAGCAGCCCTGCCCCCAGCCTCCAGGGGCCAGGGTGGCCGATGAGGTGAGGAAGCGGAGGAAGGTGGAGGAGGGTGCTGGGGACGAAGCAGTGGTCAGCAGCAGCACCCAGATGCCTGCCCCCACCCCATCCCAGTGCTTCAGGGCCCAAAAGGGTGGAGGCGAGGTGGAGGAAGAACCAGAAAGCCAGGTGGGGCCCGAGCAGAGTGCCGGTGGGAGCCCGCCAGAGGGCCCAGGGCCTGCCACCACAGGGACCCCTGTGGATGGGATGGGGGAGGCAGCCGGGACCGGACCTTCTGCCAAACCTGGAAACGGAAAGCCTTAAGGATCGGGGAGCCTGCGGGCATCTTGGCCCTGCCCAGCCCTGCTGCAGGGGGAGTCTGGGTCCCAGGAGCCCTGTTGCCGGCTCTTCTCAGTGCCCAGCAGTGCTGGCCTCTCCCTGGTGGTCACTGCAGTGGCCACTGGATGGACCGAGGCCCCGCCCTCAGGGAAGGCCCGAGCCTTCAGAACCCTCCTTACCTCACTGCGTTCTCCCTGCTCTTCCTCTGAGCCCCCGTGTTTGTAAATAAACCCTCCAGGGTCCCGGAGGGTCCTTTTCTCAGTGTGGTGCCAAGCAAGGCCTTTTCTGAATAAACTCCTCTGACTTTGAGTCTTCGTGGTGTGGGCAGCAGTCCTCTTTGGTGGCCTGGGACTGGTTTCCTGAGGGTCCTCTCCAGGTTCTTCTACGCCCAGCTGCAGAGTGGCCTGGCCTGGTGCCATCTCACTTTGCCCAGGCAAGTGCCCACCAGGCAGCATGGCACAGCTCTCCTGGAAGCACAGTCCCCTGATCCTGTCCGAGCAAGCAGCCTCTCCAGCCCCGGCACTAGACCTCTGGCCCCTCAGCTGCCTTGGGTCACCTTCCAGTAGTCAGTCTAGGACTTGAGCATAGCCCCTTGGGTGGGGGGACAGCAGTTGGGGTGCTACAGGTCTAGAGCAGGTCTTACTTCTGCCTAGTTGGGGTGCACTGATGCCTCAGGCCCCAGTCCAGCAGTGCCCTTGCCCAGCCCTGCCCCTCCACACCTCCCTCTGCCTTCCTAGGACTCCCTTGGCTGCACCCTACCTGGTGGAGCCCATGAGCCTCCCTTGGCAGCCCTTGGCCACAGCTTGGCTTTGTCCTGAGCCAGGAGCCCAGGACACCTAAATTAGCGGGTGAGGAGCTTTTGTGGGGCCTCTGAGAAAAGGGTTCCCCAAGTGGCTCTCGGCCGCAGGCTTGCCTTTGGGCCAGAGAAGGGTGGAAGGGCCATGGCTAATTCTGGGCAGAGGCCTTCTGCATCTGACTCACCTCCTCCACTGGATGCTGTGGGACCCTGGTGCTGCCCCCACTCATTAGCTCAGTAGTGGGGTTTCCACCTGGAGGGGAAATCAGGCTCTGGTGTAGAGGTGGGGCATCAGTGTCTTCAACAGGCCCCCTCTGATCTCCAGAGCTCGGGGACCTCGGTCCAGCCCGTTGGGGCCCCAGTCAGTTGGGAAATTACAGCGCCTGTTGTGATAAGAGGCCCCATTGGAACAACACTGAGGAGAGGGCTGTGTCCAGCACTGGGCACCTGGGGATGGTCATTCTGGCTCACTGAACCCTGAGCTTCAGAGAAAGTGTCCCAAAATAGGTGAATAGGGCTTTGGCTCTGCTCAGCTTGGGTGCTGGGGAGGCTGGACTCTGGCTGGTGGGTGTGAGGCCAGCCCCCTGCCCTCAGCTGGCCTGGCCCTAAAGGTCTGTGCATTGTTGGGGTGGGTTTGTGAGGGTGCCTGAGTGGAGGGGCTTGGGGAAGGACACTAGGCTGTCATTTCTCCACCCAAGGTGAAGGCTAACTGTGCTTCCTGAGTCTAGCTACATGCTAGGAACTGGGGTAAGGGGCAGAGCTGGACTGGGGGGCCAGGTAGGAGCCTGGGATGGGGAGAGAGAGCCCGAGGAAGGGGCTGCCATGCCCCCTCGTTCCAAGTTGAACCGGGGAGGAACCCTCTTGCTCCTAGATGCAGAGATTGGAGTGGGGCTACCCCAGGCCTCTACTCCCAACCCCTGCTATCTGCAGCTCCCTCCCCTTTCCACGAGACTGTCTCTGAAGATGTGCCCTAGGATGTCCTGGACTCTGCTGGAGGGCAGGCCCTTTTGAGCTTCCCCTCGCCTCCTGATGTGCCCCAGCCCTCCCACTGGAGGGCTCCTGGGCAGACAGCTGTGGGTTTTGGTGGTGGTGAGACTCTCCTGCCACCTCACCTGGGCCGAGGGGTGCCGACTCCTCACTGAGCTGTTTTGTCTAAACTCCCCTTTTCACCCCTACTTGATTCCCATCCTCTCGACAGTTGTGAATGGGCTGGGGAAGTGGCTCCATGGTGCAGGGCCTCGGCTGTGAATGGTGATGGCCTCGGTTCCACCTCCAGCCACTGCACTCCCTGCAAGGGGGCCAGGCCAGCTGAGAGCAGGGGGCTGGCCTCACACCCACCAGCCAGAGTCCAGCCTCCCCGGCACCTAAGCTGGGCAGAGCCAAAGCCCTATTCACCTGTTTGGGGACACTTTCCCTGAAGCTCAGGGTTCAGTGAACCAGAATGACACCCCCAGGTGCCCAGGTGCCCCACTGCAGTGGCGCTCCAACACACCCTGTAGGGGGCAGCACTCCCAGAAGCCGGAGGATCCCCGGTGCGCGGCAATCCTGCATGGGTTCCGGCCCCATGGGGAACCTGAACATTGAGATGTGCCTAGGGTAGCTTGGAGGCCCGTCCCAGGCCAGCGCTCACCCTGCTGCAGTATCAGGGTAGGGTAAGTGCAGCAGTCTTAGGGTCCTGTTGGTGACAAATTCCCTCAGGCCAGGATAAGGAGCTGCTTCCCCCTCTCTTCTAGGGGGACCGTTTTGCTCTCTCTTGAAGAGGCAGGGTGTCAATGGTGACCCACGTGGACAGAACCCTTGGGAGAGTGCAGGTTTCAGTGTGTGACGTGCCTGCAGGCAGCCCTGCGCTGTCCCGGGTTGGAGGGGATTCACCCACGGAGGTCTCCTGGGCTGGGGCAGCCTGCTGGCCCCCCTCCTAAAAGGCCCCTCCAACTCGACCGCGGAGAAAGGAGCCTTTCTTGTCGGCTGAAAGGTGTGTGTGTGCCCGGCGCCAGCCCGGGATAATTTTAACTCCGGGCCGGCCAGAAAATGCCGGAGGCTGGCCCAGCCCGCGCCCGCGCCCGCGCCCCGCCCGCCCAGGTGGGCCGGCTGAATGGGGGCTTGTGCCGCGGGGCGGGGCGGCCGGCCGCGCACCGCCCTCCGCCCCAGGCCCTGCGCCGCCGCCGCCGAGCCGCTCAGAGTGCGAGCCAGCCATGGCCCGAGCGCCCGCCCTGACCCTGCTCCTGCTGGGGCAGCTCCTGGCGGCCGCCGCGACGCAGGTGAGCGGCCCGCGGCCGCCCCGGCTCGACCCGCTCAAGGGCCGTCGAGGGTTTGGGACTAAGGCTGGAGGTCCAGGCGCGCGACCCGGGACGACCCCGCCGCGCCACCCCGGACCGGCCACCTCGCCGCGGCCGCGCGGAGTCCCGCTGAGCCCCACCGACGCCGAGACGCGTCGGGGATGAGCCCTGGCGGATGAGCCCTCGCGGGTCTGGGCCGGCTGCTGCCAGCACTGCCACGGGGCTGGAAGCACAATGTCGCCTTTGTTCCTGACCACTCCCAGCCAGAGAGATGCAGTGGTTAAACTGCCCGCTGGCGCCAGGCTCCGCAGGGTGGTGGGCTCTAGTTCAGACCCCAGAGCTGCTTGGAGGGGAAGAAGGGACCCTGTACCCTGAGCAGACTGGAGGGCTGACTTGTGGGACTGCGGTGGGGTAGGGATACCTCCCTAATGACTTTTCTACATTTCAGAAAGCAGGACCTCGAGGCCCTCCTGGCCCCCAAGGGCCACCTGGAAAGCCGGGCAAGGATGGCATCGATGTGAGTTGGGGGGTGGGCTGGGCTGGGCTGGGGGTTCCCTGCATTCTAGCTCTGGTCCTAGCCTTCCTGATGGAGGCAAAACAAGTCCCACCTTCAGAGCTGGGGTCATACAGGGTGATGAGCCAGTGCCCTGTTGGACTGAAGGGACAAAGACACTCCTTGTTCCTGCTCCGGGCAGAACCTGAGGTGGGGTAGCATGGTGGTCCTGGGGCCAGAAATGTGGACACTGAGGTGTGTTTCTGGGTCTCCTGAGGGGCTGTGCTTCTGTGGGATATGGGCCCTGGGGCTCTGTGCTGGTGTGGGGCTTGTCCTTCTGGGTGGATGGGGGTTGTGGGTCTTGTTGGGGGATGCTGGGGGCTGGAGCCAGTCTTGGAGGGGCTCGGGGACACATTTAGCCCCAGAGATGGCATCCTCTATGGTATCCTGGGCCTGTGTGAGCCCAGTGATTTGGGGAGGCACAGCTCCTACTGGGGCAGCTCCTGGCGGCTGGGATGGTCCGGGATAAAGACCTCCCCTGTCCAGCCAGCCACCTCCAGGAAGGGCAGGGATCCCTATAGGGCCTGTCCTCACCTGTTGTTCCCTGTCAGGGTTTTGGGAGGGCCATGGAGAGCCACATGGACAGTCCCCCACAACCCCTCCTCAGCCTCCCTGCAAGTCTCCAGCAAGCTTTGCCTTGATGGCCATAAGCCTCCCTGCCCCCACCACAGGGCAGCTGTTCTGGGGCCATGTTGGACTACATCCTAGGTGGCCCAGGGCCTTGGCCTCCCAATACCCCTCTTACTGGGGTTGGGCACCTGGGTCCTGGGCTCACACTTAAACCCTGGCCTCTCTCCCTCTGCAGGGAGAAGCTGGTCCTCCAGGTCTGCCTGGGCCCCCGGTGAGTGTCCTTAGCTGGAGAGAGGGGCAGCCTCTTTCCATCTGGCGAGGAGGGATAGACACAGAGAACAGAAGGTCATTGACGCCATGTCCCACCATGCTGGGCCTAGCAGAGGCCTCAGAGGGCTGGAGTGGGGGTTGGAGCCAGGAAGAGGGTGGGAGGAGAATGTGTGGGATCCGATGTCTCTGGAGGCAGGGTCTGGCTGGAAGCTTTCTTTGGGCCAGTGCCCAGGCAGGCCAGGCAAGGGGGACAAATACAGCTCTGATGGTCTCCCCAGCCTGGAGCTGCCCCAGGCCCCTCAACTCATCCAGCTGTAAGGACTGAGGGCACTGGAAACACTGGCAATCCCACACGGGCTGCTGGCCTGGGGTGGGGAACCTGAATCTACCAGGTAAATGACTACTGATGGGACTGAAAGATGGGGAGGGTAGTCTTCCTGGGGCCAGCGTTCTTGGATGCCTAGGTGGTACCCGGCATTTCTTCCTTGTTGAAGACCAACGTTTGAGGCTGGACCCTCCCTCACAAGTCTGCCCTTTCCTCTTGCTCAGGGACCAAAAGGGACCCCAGGGAAGCCAGGGAAGCCAGGAGAGGCAGGTCTGCCGGGACTGCCTGGTGTGGACGTGAGTGTACAGCCCCGGCTCCTCACAGACTAAGGGTCACCTTCTAATTGGTGTTCTCCCGCTGGGCCTGCTCAGGCTGGAAACCCAGTCCTGACAGAAGTCTCCAGAAGTCCCCACAGGGGTCCCTGGCCCCGGCCCAGACCCTGCCAGGCCTGGTGGGGGACAGAGCCAGCCCACAGCAGAGCTGGAGGCCCTGCCAGCTCTGGCTGATGCAGGAACAAGTGC